ACAAAAATGTGCAATTTGGCATTTGTATCGGGAAAACCATCAGCGATCATTGTTTTACCTTGGAACGCAATCTGAAACACAGGCCAGACCACCTGCCCTGCCTCAGACACCGTGGTTCAAAAGGGCTGGAGCCGTTTCATTTGAAAGCAAAACCCTTACTAGCAACGTGACTAAGGAAGATAAGGCAATGGTGGGGGAAACCAACTGAATGGTTTCCTCTTTTTTAATTCAAGTAGAGTAGGAGCTCATATAAAAACTATTTTAAAATCTTACATGTGGTGCTAAATCTAAAATCTGGAGCTCTTTGTGGGGAGGGGGGTGGGGATAGCCACCAATTTCATCAGAGTGAAAGGAGATAAGGAGTAACAAAGATTCCATGACTGTTACCTAGAATTAAGTCAAAATAAAGGATAAACTGACTCATATAAAACACAGGGCACATTCCAACCCATATAAGGAAAAACTCACCCCGTGTTTCACATTACGACTTGCTGAAACAACACACATTCCAGTTGCACACTGCAGTAACCTCTGTAATACAGGTGCTTGACAACTGCTCGAGCCTCAAAAGCACAACACAGTTGTGAGGTAAACCAAGTCAGATAAGTTCAGCAGAGGTAGAGATAAGGTAAAAGTGACTTCCCTATCGCTATTAGGCTGTGTGGGAGATGCCGTTATCAGGATTTCCGAGAGTAGAAACGTACCTCTTTTTCAGGAGTATGAGTAGAAAAGGCCAATTGTACTGGTGAAAGAAATATAAAGTATGGGATTGATTTCAGGCCTTACCACCTTGCTTCGTTGTTGTTCTGTGCTGAATCGCCAGAGGATTTCATTAACCTTCTGCACACCTGCTGTATCATGTTATTTTATACACAGTCAGGTGTTTCTCTCTCTATTATTTATTGACCTTTAAGGAGAGATCTATCTTTTCACTTCCAAAACACTATCACCTTCACATGCGCTTTTCAGATACTGGCTTTACAATCATTTTAGCAGTCCACAACAAGCCCAGACATTTCTATTAACGATTTACTGGAGTGAATAATTAGGCTTAGGTGTCTAGGATCTCTGTCCATTTACATATAGTGAGTGAACTAGCACAGACTTGTGTTCACCTCTCTTCATACACATTCAGCTCAACCAGAATTAAAACTCAAAGAAACTTGAAAATAAAGTGCTCATTTTAACTAACATTTTACCATTAAGCATACTACTCTCTACTGGAGTATCTCAAAAACACCACCATTATTATATACTGCAGCGTTGTCACGAAAGTATAAGAAAAGCCCTCTTATTTTATAGAAACTACCACAAATGGGTTGATTTAAAATGATCCATAAGCAAGTTATCAGCTTCCATGTAGAAATGGGTGGACCATAAGCCAAGAACAGTGAGCAAGACACATTTAATATTAAACCTAGATGATATAAGCCAAGCTTTCTCTAAAATGATTTTGCATACTTCCAATGTTTTATTATAAAAACACAACTGTCTGACTGTATTACTGATTGTTGCATTTCAGGCCCTAGATATTTTAACCCTTTTCCAGAAACACAAAAGGCTCTTAAGGCAGCAGTAATGAGGAAACATTCTAACAAAACATTAATATAATATTATTTTGCTTATCATGCTTCAGAAGTAAATCATTTTGATTTAGAATGTGGGAAGGCGTCACTGCATGGATTAAAAAGTGATCAGAAATGTAGGTGGTCTCAAGGTCTGTACAATCTTGGAAGAAATTTTACTTTCATCAGTAACCTAATAATGCCCCTAGAGGGCACTAGAGTAAAACTACATTAGTCCCCAAGACCTGCATGTCCCCCTGACAGAATGAACTAAAGATCAATATTTTATTTGTTTCCCCCAAAAAGCACCTTCTCTCAAAAGACCAATGGTTCTCCACAAAAAACTAAATTTACTTTATGCCACTGATGTTTAACAGATATTTTGTTTTTTAAACAAGAATAGTGGCTCTTCCAAAAAAACAACTCCACCTTTGTTACATATTAATGAGGCGGTATGGTCAGTACTGTACAGAAAAAAATATTCTAATAGAATTTTTAAATGCAGCTCAGGCTGATGAAGCGTTTAGTAACATATCTTTTGTGTTCTGAAAAAATGATGAATATTTATTGCTTGAATTTTATTAGTATGTCTTACGAATATATTATTTGAGGGAGGAAAAAAACACTTTGAGAAACCATCACAAAAGCAATAAAAATCCCTGACTTTCCTTATGAATCTATGCAGTGGTTATTTAGCGGGTTGCTGTCAATTTTTTTGGGGGGGCTAGGCAATGAGATATTGCTTTTGAGCTATTCAAAAATGTATTCTTTAACTAGACAAAAGCAGAGAGAAAAAATGGGACTGACACATGTAATCCAAAAGTCAAAAGACTTTTAGTCAAAAGAAAACCAAAATGTCTGGGAATCTGCAAAAGGAGAGACATTTTGTTTTTTGACAGCCGGTGATCAGTGCAACACATTTTGCAGACTCACTTTCCTGAGCTTAAATTTTACCTAATGGCTAAAGGCACTTCCCCTGACAGATGGTTACAATAAGAGCGATAATCGGGGGGGGGGGAAAATGAAGTCAAGACTGTAAAAAAAAAACATATAAGTTCAGCTTCACCACAGCCCAACCACAGCCCACACCCAGTAATTCAAACCGCAGGATAAACATCTAACAGGATATCATACTGTGTAAACTAGGGGATTTCTAAGTAATTCTCATGTAGTCAGGAATTTCACTAAATGTAACGCAAGCTCAAAATGTTCTGCATTAGAAACAGGTTCCGAGACGATTGAGTTTTTTTTCTAATTCGAGAATAAAGAACCCGAGATCTGTTCCCGCTTTCTTTTAGAGATGCATCCCTTTTTCATGTGCCAGGGACTTCACACGTCACTGTCTGAGTGTGGGCAAATAATTGACAACCCAAAATCTAAAGGTTCAGACAGGCAGATGTATTACCACACTTATTAACCTCCTGTCTGGAAGAGTTACCGCCAACGTGTGGAACATCATTACCGCTAACGGTAACAAAAATGAATTGGGTTAGAAAAGGTGAGAGCCAGCGATGATGCTGCTGACAGGCCAGTGCAAAGTTACATGTAGCAAAAGTAGGTGGAAATTACCACAATGCAGGCCTGCGAAAGCAACAATTTCATCCATGACTGTCTAATGACCTTCAGACCCCCGGAGCTGGGCAAACGGGGAGGCTTGATTTCGGACACAAACGCCTTTCAAAATCCAGCCATTTTCTACCTGCTTCACCCAATTCGGGGTCAAGGGGGGAGCCGGAGCCCATCCTGTCAAACAACACCCTTGATCGCGACACCAGTCCATCACAGGGCGCGAACACAGGCACAGTCACACACTCACTTGCCAGCGTGTCTTTGGACTGTGAGAGGAAACCGGAGCACCTGGATGGAACCCACACAAAGGCAGGGAGAACATGCAAACTCCACGCAGACAGGACCCCGAGAACTGAACCCTGGGCCCCAGCACTGCTAACCACTGCACCCCTGTGCCCGATGCTTCATTAACCATTTCAGGAAATGCAGAAACTGCCACTTTCGAGCACAGAATCAGATAGAGCTGAACATTTAGATTACAAAAAAAAATGTATTTCCTCAAAATACACTAATTCCCCGGTATAAGAACATTTGGCGCCATTGGGCAACATTGGGCAACAGGCATTATGGTTAAGGACGCTGTGAGGCAGCAGCCCTGTTTTAATGATCACAGCGAAAGCTTGTGCTCTCATTTTCATTTTTTTGTGTTTGTTGTGTAGTTGCTGTTCGTTATGGGCCCTAATTCTTTGGCGTAGTAGTCAACAACAGTATGCACATCGTTCTAGCTGATCGCTTGGATAGCGATCTATTACAACAGAATGAAAAATGTAAATATGATATCATTAATTATTTCACAGCTATAGTTGGCTGATTAAAGTAGAACTGGGTTGTCCACTAAGCTTGCAGTAATGGTCTGTGTGGCATTATATGTTTAGAGCGGTTTTTGAGTGAACTTGTCTTCAATTCAGAACGGGGTGGAATTTTCCCTAGAAGAAATAATGGAATTTTTATTTTCATTTTACGATTGCCCCACCTTCCGAACAGATTTTCATGAATGAATTATGTTCAGATACTGGGGTATGAGTGTACTAAACTACCCCCAATGAAATGATGGGGTAGATTTCATCTGATCTGCATCTTTAAAAGTACACAGTTAAACTCTTTAAATCAAATTCTGAATCTTTGCTTACATGAAGTTCAACATACACTGATGCACCTTTCCCTTTGGGTCATTCTCTGTGCAACTGTTCTTTGAATACATAAAGAATACCTCTGTGTCTGTACATTGATTCAAGCCTTATGAGTCTGTGGATACTGTACCAAAATAATTTACATTTGAATAAATCCCGGTTTCAACCATTAAAAAAACATTAAAGAACACATTTCCATCAAATTCTAAAACTCGAAGGCAGGCTAATATGTAAATAAGCCATCTTCAGATGGAAGCTTCATATCTATGCTTACTAATTATACCATATTGATTTTTTTTTTAATTTCAAGAGTAGGCGTAAATATTCATGGTTCAATTCCTACAATAACAAGGATACTTCACTTTTCACCTTAAGAACTGCAATTCCCATGTATACAAAAAAACAAGTTATGCATGTTAATCACATTCCTACAGAAATGCATATTTACATAACAGTAGACCATTTTCAAATGTTATTTAACAAATGTAACTGCAACACAAATTAAGGCGAACAAAGGTTTTCTGTTAAAGAATCAAGTTTTGTATGACTGGGTTTTTTTCTGTTTTTCTGCTGGTTGCATTGCCATTTGGTTTCTGAGCATCAAAATAATAACTAGAGTGTGAGCCACTGCAACATCTCATAACTGGAAATGGACCAGTAGCCCACTGGTATTCATTACAGCATCCTGGACTGTCGGGCTGAAAGCAGGCAGAATCAGCTTCAGAAACAGGCCTACCTTGTCCTTGTCATCCACAAGATCGGCCAGGATATCATCAGGATCCAAAATCCCTCCATCACTGTATTCAAGGTGATGGATCTTCACAAAACAGCTGCCATCCTGTGTGAGAAAAGGCTGTTACTTTAACACCAGGCACAGGTTTTAATCTCGCTTCAATTTAGCAGGTCATAAAAATGTATGGAGCTTGGCGTAACAAAACTAAAAATAAATGCAAATACCCCCAGACCCACTCATTACATTTTTGCAGGAAAGCCATTCCCAGCATTTGGAACCAATCTTCCTTGCATCAGTTAAAGAGACCAATCACCAATGACATTTGGAAAACATGCCAAGATTACACTTTTAAAGCAGGGATTCTTAACTGGTGTGTTTCTGACATTAATGGCATTAGAGGCTATGAAAATAAAAGAAACCCCTGTGTCGTGTAATGGACAAAATATTCTATTATTTATCCATCCATTTTTTTATCTGCTTCATCCAATTTAGGGTTGCTGGAGCATATTACAGATAGCAATGGACCCACAGTGGAATTCATTTTTTGTTATTTAACTTTAAAAGGGCATTTTTTAACTGTTGTCCCTTTTAAAACATGCATTTCTAAAGGCTTTAGCATGTGAACTGTGATCATGTAAACAGGCAGTTTGTTCATGCGGAAGTCATATGGAATAAATCTGAGCACAATTCAGCCTTCAGGGACAAGAGCATCTTTATATGAAATACTTACTTTGATCCATATCTTACAAGTGTCCATAAACTTCAGAAACAGGTGACCTATAGTGACTACAAAACTAACTGGATTAATGCTCTCCTCTACTGGGTCATGTAATAGACCAGGAGTCTCCAGCCCTGGTCCTGGAAAAAACCCCAGCCCAGTTATTCTTACAGAATCCCTAAATCACCTGTCAATTAATGATTAGGAAGGAACAATTGTTTAAGGAACCAATCAGTTAAGCAAGTAATGTTTTGCAGTGTGATCACCAGTCCTTGTGGGTTAAAGGATATTCTGAGCTTAGTGCTGCATGATCTCTAAATTTCTCAATCAAACCCAGTACCTGTTGTACTGGTCATACCTGAACTGTTCCAGGCCTTTCAAAACTGATGATTTAAAGACTATTAATAAAACCTGATGGACCGAGCTATTCTAGAACCAAGGTTGAAGATTCCTAATTCTGTTTATTCTGCTTGAACTGTTTGGACAACTCGAAAAGCAACCAGCGGTCTTGACAAAAATATAGCTGTGAAAAACTCAAGCTGTGGCTGTAATTATCAAGGTGATTGTGTGCTTTAAATACAAAACTTTGGTATCTAGAGTGAGAGCTGGACTGGTTTTGTCTGGGAAGCATTCAGAAGCCTATCACAGCCTATGGAGGAGCAGTTAATTAACAGCTTTGCCCCCTTAACTGATTTTGTAACTTTAATAGCCACATTTTAAATGGATGCATGAAGGCAGCATGCACAAAGCTAGCGAGGCCCCGAGGAAAAGCAATCCTGAAATCTCTTGGGTGGAGACTCTAAATGCAAAGATTAGCTAATGATCCACAGCACAGCTTCAATCCTGCGTCTGAGAAGTCTGCGGGGTACAGTCACGCAGTTGTACAGTTCTATGATCTGACCACTCCTTTCACTCCAGAACGTTACCATCATTGGACTGGGAAAGCACAGACCAAATGACGTGCCTAATGAGGTGTGGCAAAACAGTATGATAGATTCCTTGTGGAAGACGATAAAGGTTAAATTCCTGGAAAGATTAAAGGAGCTTGATTTTTTTTTTTTAAATGAGTTTGTTCTCTTTTTTAAGGTAAACCACATCCTGCAATCTTCCCTAGAAATGCTAACTGCGATCAATATTTCTTTTTCTGCTGTTTTCGTTCTCTGCAACACTGCTTCTCTTCTGAAGGAGCACATTCTGCAGCTCTAGTAGTAGTGAAATTTGTATTCAAAGAACAACCGCTGAACAACCGCAGCAGAACAAAACGTTCTGTTTTCTGTCAATTAAAACCCACAAAACAGACTTGCCCAAAAAGCGAAAAGTCATAACTAAATAAAAAGGTCTTTTACGTCTGTGATCTTTCAACACCACTAGCCTCTGTGATCACCTGGGTGTTTTTAATGGTCGTTGCATTCTGTGGGAGGGGTAAGTGAATTCTTGGATCTCTTCTTCCTAGTGGCTATAAAAGTAAGAATTCACAAAAATGTCATTTTCTAACAGCTCCCCATGTTGTGTGAAGAGAACAAGAGGCAAACTATAAACAACTATAGTTATGCAGATACATAATCTGGCTTCAAGAAAGTAATTAAACAAAGAAAACACACTGACAGTCTTCAAAAACAACTGTGTTCCTTTCCAAACATAAACGAAACAAATCCCATCTCTCAATACTGCAGTGGTCAAGTATTATTCCACTAGTCTGCTACAGTACATCTGGAATTAATAGATAAAAAGGAAGAAAACATCTTGGCACGTTGAATCCAATAAACAATATGAAAAAAAATCTTTGGGAACAATCCCAAAAGCCTACAGGGTAACATGGGTAGGTTTATGGAATCTTATTTTGGTAGTTAACCAAATTATTACCTCAAGAATAACCCAGGGTTATGCAGTCTTGTTCAAAACCAGTCATTCTCATCAGCAGACACTGAAGCAGCTTGTCAAAATGCTTGGGTGGTTTTGGAACTAACAGTACTGTTGCGACCTTCTGTTTTCAGTTGCATAAATTTGCAATGAGTATGTTCCTGCGCCTTTTAAATGATTAAGCCAACTGAAAACTGACAGTTCCTTTCCGTTTTGTCCCCATTATTTTGAACCTTTGTCTAGCACAAATGTTTATAAATACACATATTTATAAATATACAGTATAAATAGTGCTGTGCAAATGTATTCTGACCTATGTACAGTATTCACACTTCAAAGCTTATAGTCATCACGCTAGTAATTTAGCAATTAAGTAGTTCAGGTGGGGAGCTGCGTCAGCATGCGTAGGCTGCAAAGGAACAAGAGGTTTATTCTATGCTGAAAAAAAGAAGAAAGAAAACACAATGTTTCGGCCATGGAGCCGTGTAGTAGGTTGTGTATATAACTAATATTAATTTAGCAGTTAATATTAGTTAGATACACAATCTACTACACATTCAAAGTGAAAAGTAAAGAAGTAACCAAAATGAAGGAAATAAATCGATAAGTTATAAGTGCATAAGTATACACACTTTTTTCTTTGCAAACCTAAATTAAATGTACTGTAGGTGCACGAAATTACCTAAGTCATGAGTGGCCTCTGTTTGCAATAGTAGTGGTTCTCCTGATTTTAGCATAAAACCCATCTCTGGCCACATAGTGAGTTCCAAGCAAAAAAAATAAGGAGCTTTAAAAGGATGTTAGGAATAATGTCATTGAAAAGCACACATCAGGGGATTGATGAAAACTGATGAAAATCCCCCTTCATTCACTCATCAAGAAATGAAAGGTGCACTGTACCACCTAGATCAACCCTCCCATCCAAACGTAGCAGCTGGGCAAGGACGAAACTGAAGAGTGATGCCATTGTGAGGCCAACAACAGCTTTCACAGAGCTATAGAATCCAATGGCAGAGACAGGTTCTCCATTCTGCCATACCAGCAAGCTTTGTGCAGTGTTGGCTGATGAACACTTTCTCTCATCTCATATCCTGCATGACGTTTGCAACAAAGCACCTGAGCGATACCACACCAATCTAGAACAAAGGTGAGGAGGTCACTGGGGTCCAAACTGGAACGGCTTGTGTTGAGGTGGCACCAAATGAAACGGTCTGCAAGAAAGCCATCTCATCTCCCAGTCAGCGCTATCCCTACAGTCAAGCACGGTGGTGGCAGCAATACGCAGCCGGGACTGGGGCAGCTTGTTAGAACTGAGCAATACAGCATTGCACAGAAAAGACCACAGGAAAACCTGCTTTACGTTTGTTTTCCCAAGAGGAAAACGATTCAAAGCTAAAATGGAGTGGCTTAAGAACAGGACCATGCAGGGCCCTGTGTGGCACAGTCAACGGACTGAACCCCATCCATCGAGTACCTAAGGAAACTCTTGAAAACCACTACAATGTAAGTGATACCCAAGAGTTTGAGCAATTAAAAGACGGTTATAATTCATGCCGGAGGTGCTCCCAACAAATAGTGAATTCACAGGTCAGAATACATGCGTATGTACTGTAATCTACATATTTCAGTTTCTGCTGACATCTACTGATATGTATAGATAGATAATACTTTATTAATCCCGTAGGGAAATTGATTAAATTGATATGTATCCTAATCTTAGTCTGAGCATTCAGGTTTTGAATGCAATATTGTGGTTAAAAAATGAGCATTCATACTTTTGTAAGGCACTGTACTCTTGGCACTGGTTGGTGTGTTGTTTTCTTTTACGGACCTGGCATCTCGCATACAGAACACTGCCTGAAACTCCTTTTTTTCCCCTCACAAATACTTAAAAATTAGGTCTTGCCAGCTGAACGTTCCCTTCTAATGGGCTTTAAAAATTGAGTCAATCAATAAACGTTGGACGTGGCATTTCAAAGGGGGGTTTGTTCTGCAGAGAAATGTTGACTAAAGTTCACATGGATTAAATGTCATTTATTTTAAATAACATGAAAAGGGCTGAAACTCTGGATGATTCACTACATTTTACACTTTTTTCTCGACTGTTAGTACAGTGTTCAGGCGATGCTAACGATAACTAACCCTAAAGACTGATGTCTAAATGTACAGTATGCTGCCCAGGCAAGCATGTGACTACATATCCCTTGAGGTATTGCAGTAAGAACTACAATGGTCCCAATCTACTAGTAATCTCTACAATTACTAGTAGGCAAAATCACTGTTACATTTTTAATACGCTGATGACAATAAGTAAGCCTTAAAACTCACTTTTGTTCAGAGAAACAACGACTGTTAAAAAAAACTAAATTTCTTTGTTGCTCAATATGAAACTTCCACCTCCCAAAAACCAGAAGTCTAGCAATAATAAAAACACCTTCTATAAAGCCGTGAAATCAAAACTGCCACTGCACCCGTCAATATTCATTATAAGGTGCCAATTCAGACATATTTGTTTAGAGACTTTTCA